AAAACAAATTTGGCTGATTTCTAGGCAACTATTTTGATGGAACTTTCATGAAATTCTGCACACAAAAGTTTCTAAAAACTGAAAACATTGAATTTTCATACTCAAGACATCGAAAACATTTACATTTAATATTTCTACTCACTTCAAATCGACGGAAGTGCTCAATTTCGACATATCTATTTACGAAACTGGTTTATAGAAAAACAGACTAACTTACTCTTTAAATGAATATTTAAGAAAAAAAACTTACTAAATAATTATTTTACTTCTTTTTTTTTGATTTTTAGCGAATAAACTTATTTAAAAAAATACGATATTTACAAAACAATTCTAATCTGAAAATTCAGAAAATAATACTCTAAAAGTTAATTCTTGATTATATATTTCATTTCGCTGTGACCTTATAAATATCAAACTTTGACCCTTGAACTTGTAAGAAAAGTCTAGAGCACGAGTGGAGATTGAACTGGACATATCGAAATAAAAAATTGCGCTAAACCATATACCCACTTTCATTTGGTGTACAGTGTATTAAACCACTTTGGCAGTCTCTTACTTCGCTGCTTCTCTCAATCTGTTTTATCGTTGGCCATGTTGTGCCTGGGTGTGTGTGTGTGTGTGTGTGTGTCGAAAAACAGGATCGTTCGCTAAACGGAACTGCTCCGCAACCTCAACAGCGACAGCAACAACAATATCTTGACGATGATCATCTCTCTGAAGGTGGTATCAAGTAACAGAGCATTATAATCAATATGTAAGCGGGCCTTTAAACGGGTTTCCTTTCTGCTTTACACTAAAAATACCCTTGCCGAGGGCAAGGGCTAATCCCTGGAAGGCAACATTTCGATTATGAAAAGTATATATATATATCAAGTCAAATACAATATAGTTTTCAAGCAGGCAAGCGAAGCTAGGGCGCAAATCGGGTTTGTTTCTTTAGATATCTTGAGCCTTTTTAGGGTATTTTATATTCGGCCAGCTAAGCTTTTTCGGCTCAGACCAACTGCTGCACTTTGTTCAAGCTTTTTTTTTTCGGTCACTTGTATCTGCTTTCTGCTGCTGCGTGTTCTTCTGGCTCTTTAAAGCGTATTTGTTTCAGATTTAACGCATCAGAAATTTTTTTGTTGGTTTTTTTTTTTTTATTTTTTATTTTAATGAAGTCTTAAGTTACCAATCGCTCAATTGCTGAGAAAGTTGGCCAAAATGCGGCAACGATTAATTAATAAATGTGACAGCAAATGGCCGATAAGTGCTCGGACCTCTATATGTACATATAGGCGATCATGCGATATGTCCGGCCGGCCCTCGGCTTCGGGTAGTGCCAAGAAGACGTCAAGACTTTCACACAAATTGACATTGCGCCTGTCTGTGGTTTATCGCCGAAAAGACAGAGTCCAATTCGTGCCGACTTATCGAAAGAATCCTGAAGGGATTTGGCTCAAATTCATATTTTATAATATTTATATAGGCATATGTTTATATACAAATATTTATATTACTTGACGTGAACAGCTTTTGCTCTAGTTTATTCATTTATGGATGTCCTTTATGCTAGTTCGAATCCATATTGATATATGCCCTGTTTTTTCCTAGGAACTCAAATATCGGTTTAACTTTAACTGAAACTTTCGTATACGAAATTCCTAACTTATCTCTTGTTTAGTTGACTTATAATACAAAGAAATGTGAAACCCTTTACTGCAACTTTCATGTCCGAATTTCCTATCCCATCTAAGTTTAAATAGAAGAAACTTAAAACCCATTAAAAGGGTTCCAGTGTTAAAAAATAAAGAAAGAAATTTTCGAATTGATAATTGGATACGGTATACTATAAATACCCTATGGTAATCATATAAGTATTGAAAAATCGCTTCATATTCAAGTTAAGCGACATTGTTTATATGGCAATATGGACAAGGTCTCAAACAAAACTGTCGCATAATTTTTGTTATACATACATATATGTTGCTTGGAGTGTTGTAAAACGTAAAAAAGAGCTGACAGTTCGCTTAATAAAAACGAACAACAACTGCATTGGGCTGAAGTTCCCAACTCATTTGCTCATTTTTTTTTTCTTTCAAGTAAACTTCCTAGACTCGTTTCCTCTTTATAGCATGCATATGCCATACCCGTCCCCCCCCCCCCCCTCTCTCTCTCTCTCTCTCTCTCTTACACTCTTCAAACTATGACATATGCAAATACTTGTAAATTTTTCATATCGGCTGCGCTCTCCATTAAGGCCCATTAAATGCCAGCGACAAATTAGCGGCGCTTGCTGGAGGCAAAAACTAAAAAGAGGTTGGCATAAAAAAGTTACAGCTCAACTTTCCCATTCATTTCAGATATTGTGTGTGTGTGTGTGTGTGTGTGTATATACATGCATGAATATATTGACATTTAAGCACAACAACAACAACATCTCTAACATTTTCATGCATTACCGTAATTTACGCCCTGGCATTGAGCCACGCCTCCTTTTAGTTTTCTGCAGGGGCGAGCAGTCAACTGAGCAGAGCTGCAACTGCAGCTGACAGGCTCCGAACAGCTGCCCCAACCCCCGCCGCATGTGGAGCCCCGTGCGGCGTTGTAACGGTTTTAACTTGCAGTAGCAGCAGCAGCCGCAGCAGCAGCGCAGCCGCAGCAGCAGCAGCAACCACCGCAGCAAACGCAAAAGGAACGAAAAAACGACAGCTGCTGTCAGCCATGGATAGGAAGGGAGACTCGCCAGAGGGAGACGCGACGGGAGTGCAACCCCTAAGCATATTGCACAGGCGCGTCCTTTTTACTGTTTGCGCACAGATCAAATTACGGATAAGGCCAGAGCGAGTGCAAGAGCGAGTGCGTGAGAGCCGCAACGGAGAGCGAAAGAGCCAGCTATATGCATGGGTAACCACTCTCTACCTAGACTGGAAACAAGTTCTCGAGATGCTCTCTTCATTTCTTTGTTGCCTTTGGTTGTTGTTTCAATGTCGCGCATTCTTGCTGTGCCTGCACTTTTAGCCAGCTCTGTGTCTATGCCCCATGCTGTATGAGTATTTCCTGTCTGCCTTCTCTACTCCACTTCACTTCACTCCTCTCGCGCTCTCTTTCTCTCCCTCTCTCTCTCTCGCTCTCTATCGCTCTGTTTCTGCGCTTATCCTGAGCGCACCCTAAAATACAATTTCTTGACTTTGCTCTCTCGAAATTATTGCAAGTCACGCACATGCAGGCCGTTAGATCTGTCCTTAATTATCCACAGCAGGCAGGCATTTAAGCTAGTCTTTATACATATATAAACATGTATATACATATATAGATAGCATGCCATAAATAGCGTTAGATGAGAGAGGGAGAGCGAGAGAGAAATTATACCTTACTCATACATATATTCTGCATATATTTAGGAAGGAGATTGGAAACTTTTTCGGAGAATATATTCAGTTTCTTTAAGTTCGCATAATAAATGTATATGATATTGATTAAAAAACTGAAAAATACATATATATATATTGATATCGGGAATTCGCAATTCAGTTAAATTAGTTAAGTCAATAAATTTGTATCTGAAAATCTTACAAAAATCTATTGCCGATCGCATAAAACACATGAGTTTTAATGCTAGAATTTTCTATATAAATCTCCTCCAATTTGAATATCATTGCATTATAAACATTCTATATAGAATATATATATATATAATATTCGAAAGGAAAATAGTTGGAATAATTTTAATTATTAATAATTACATTTATTATTCAAAGAAGCAACAGCACTGAAATCTGTTTTAAAACGTTTACTTTAAAAAATCGAATATTGGGAGGTATTATCGTATATTTTAAAGTGGATGTTCCTAAGGCCCGATATTTGCATTAAATACCACATTTTTTACAAGTTCTCTTCTGAATAATTGCTTTTGTTGACCGTTCGTAAACATTCCGAACGGAGTTTTTATCAATGAACAAAGCGCATTTTATCTATTTGTTTGGGACGAAATTCAACATTCGAATTCGAACATATCTTGTGTCCCAATGTCAGCTCTGGCCAGATCAGTTGGACCCATGTTCGGCATTCGAAAGACATGGCCAAAAGTAAATAGTAAATAAAAAAAAAAGCTAATTATTTCCGATGCAGTCTAAGGGGTTCCAGCTAAAAAAAAAAAAAAAAAAAACGAAGAAAAACGCGTTCTGTTTTTAAATTCCCGGAAAGTTGAAATGAGCAAAGGCAATGAGAGTTGCAAAGGTACAACTACACCTACGCCTAAGTACACACACACACACACACAGGCATACGCACACTCCAGCAAGCATAAGGGACCTAAAACGGAGACGAGTTGTGTTGACACAATGATTAGACAAGAGCCGAGCCCCAGCAGCGACGGCTTATATGCAAATATTGTGTTTTCTTTTGGCTTGCATGAGTCTGGATACGCTTCTTCTGCTTTGCGTGTGTGTGTGTGTGTGTGTGTGTGTGTGTGTGTGTAAATAGTAGTACACAAAAGTTTGACAAGTGAGCCTAATTATGATTGGGGACGTGGAGTCCACAACAAGCTACAGGAAGTTGACAGAAGACACATACGAGCGCTTGTATAACAGTGTCAACTGGCATACAAACTACATGTGTATGTATGGGGTAACAATAAAAAATGGAATATAACGAAACGAAAGGCTGCGACTGCGACTGCGGCTGTGTTGTAGTAGCATATAAGAAGTTAAAGGTGCGCAGGCAGGCAGCGGCTGTGTGTGTGCGCACATAAATCTGAGCGGGAGAGCGCGCTGAAAAAAGAGAGCGGGAGAGAGCGTACTGCCGCCAGAGAGCGACCACCTGTCCGAACTGGCTGGCAGGAGCGAGCAGCGAGCAGCGTACAGCGAGCCAAAAAGGAACACAGAGAGGCAAATAGAAAGGGAAACGAACAGAACACGAAAATGCAGACTCAATCAATATGCATGCAAAAATAAAGTAGTTTATTTTTTTGTATTTTATTCATTGTTTTTTTTTTTTGTTTTTTTTTTTTTCACACTTACCCGTCGCCTGGGCGCTGCTGAAATTAGCTAGCGCCAGCAGCGGCAGCAGCAGCGCGACGCCCGCTAGCATTTCGTTAATCCAAATTCTGTGTGCGCGACAGCGACGTCTGCTGCGCTGCAACTGCATTGTAATCCAGTTTAAGATTTGCGTTTTATGCTTTTGAGTTTTTGTTTTTTGCTTGCTTGTTGTTGCTGTTGTTGTTGTTGTTGTTGTTGCTGATGTATGTGCAGTAATTTTGTGTGTAGTTTGTTGTTGTATCACTTTAACTTTTGGTTGTTTTTATTTTTATATATTTTTTTTTGAATTTTTGTTTCTGCTGCTGGTTGTTTTTTTCTTTCTTTCTTTTATTATTATGTATTTTGCAGCCAGGCGAGTAGAACAATTAAGTGCCGCGCGTTGCCGTTTGTTGTATGCAGCGACGCCGACGTCGACGCTGACAACGGCGACATTTCCACGCGCAACCGCAACAAACTTTGAATTCAACTCAAGCGATGTTATTCAAAGAGACGAAAGACAAAGACGGCGATGGCAAAACGGTTTGCTTCCTTTCTCACATACACACACACACGCACATACGCGGGGCAATACACACACACACACACACAAATTGGCGTAAGGGAATCGCGTTGTGGTTTCTGTGCTTTTTTTTGCGCTTATTTTCCTTTTGCTTGAATTATTTGTTTGCACTTACACGGACACAGACACAGGCCACCAAGTGGAAAAAAACAACAAAAAAAGAATATTGAATATTTGGATGACGTTACCGACGTTACCGATACCGATCCCGATAGCGATTTTTATTTTATATGCCGCATTCGCATGCTGCAATTTTTGCATGCGGCGGTATTAAACGCCATATTGTTGTTGCCTCTCGTTGTTGTTTTCGTTTCGTTTCGTTTCTTTTGGCTGCGGTGCGAGTTAAATTGATGTCGCCTTTACACAATGCTACAGACACGCACAAATACACAGTTGAGAGGAGGCACTCAAAAAAAATAAAATAGCATTTAATTGAAATCCCATGCAATTGCAATTTTTAACTGCTGCAAACTGTCCGCCTCGATATCCGTTTCGTTTCACGACTCGCAACACTTTGAGCCGCGCTCACAAGCGTCGCTTGTCTGAACCCCCGAAAAAGACAACGACAGCCAGCCGGCTCTCTATTGCTCTCACGCGCGCGCGCGCTCTCGCTCTCTCTCTCTTTGAAACATACCACAGTGAGCCATGATCATGGCAGGGCGAATGCCCACCGAGCGAAATAGAGAGAGAGAGTGGCTTGGACACTCGCATATGCTAGTTATCAAAAGTTTATGTTACGAATAAAGGCAATTTTTATGTTTAGCCAGCAATACATGTCACGAATATGTATACATGTTACAGGCTCAGATTTATTTCGACTTTATACATATTTTACTAAATAAATGAGCACATTTGATATCATGTTATAGCGACGCGCTTAACTCTGAGCATGATCATAGTTAAGGTGCATTGCTGTCTGAGCGAGCTGAGCTCTACAATGTTGTGCTCCTTGAGAGAGCCGATTGCGCTCATCAATGTACGCGCTCTCAGCTACTGCGCCTGCGTCGCTGCTGGAACGACGACTGGCTTGCTTGCATTCTTGTTGTTGGCTGTGTCGTTATTTCTTTCCAATTTCAAAATGGCTGCAAAAATTAAATACTTGTTTTTCTTTGTTGCCCCACGAAGGCGCTCTCGCAAAATTCGTGCATGGTCAGGTTGCTTTTGCCGATTGATGGCGGCCAATCGATAGATCGATAACAATTTGTGTCCTGCCTTAAAAGTGAAAACATTTATTTTTTATACGCCTTTTCAAACGCTGCATTTAAAAAAAAAATGCGCTTAAATTGAAAAATGAGCAACGGATCTTGATTCCTCCTCAAATCTTTTGAGTTAAATAATTATATGCATATTGGGGTCAATTTTGGCAAGTACAGCAATTTTTTTTTATTGCAAAAAATGAAAAATTTTGCATTTTTGGTTTCATTTTAGATTTTTATTTCAACTAATTTGAGTTTTTTTTTTTTGACTTAGTTTTAATTGAATTAATTTCCATATTACACGAAATTTCACACTTTGCTTAGTTCTTCTTTCTTTTTGCTATTTGCCATTTGCTGCGTTTTCTTCATCATTTTTTCTCTTCCTTTCTTTCTTTCTTACTTTCTTTCATTTTCTTGCACATGCATTTCACATATAATGTATAATTATCATATTTACTTGGCTTAATAGGATTTTTTTCGTTTCGTTTTTTTGCTTAACTTTTTTTTTATTATTTTTTTTAATGTAATTTTCTTTTCGTTAATTTGTATTTTGTTTTTGCATTTAATTGAACATTTAATTGAATCGCTTGACATTTACCCAAAAGATTTCTTCTCTTTTGTTTTTTTTTCTTTCTCATTTTGCATTTTTTTTTTTTTTTTTTTTGTATTTTCCATGAAGCTCTGCAAATAGCACAACAAAATCGAAAAAAAGCAACTTCGTCTAGTTTTAAAAAATACTTAAACAAGAAAACGTTTAAAGCGACTTTCATTCTATATATGTACGTATGTATATATATATATATATGTATATATATTAGATATTAAAATAAAAAAAAAAAATGTATAATTAGTTGTTGGTTTGTCTAAGAATCCAACAAATTTCACAAGGAATCATAAGGCAGCATTTCGTTCAAAAAAAAAAAAAAATTCTATCGCAACTTGTTTCAGTTGTATTTGGTTTTCGAGTTTTCATTGTAAACAATTCTTCTTCTCTCCCTCTTGCTCTCTCGTTTTTGGTAAATCTCTCAAATGTTTTGTTTTGTTTTGTTTTTTTTTTTTTCAAAATTTTTCTAAGCTTTGTTTCATTTCGTTTGCTAGTTTATATTTTTTAAAATTGTTTGACGATTTCTTACATTAATTTAAATGTATTTTTACTATGCAGACAAAAAAAAATTTCTTGCAGTGTACTACACTCTCATTAATATATATGTATATATATATGTGTGTGTGTGTGTGTGGATATATGGTATATCGATTTGTATTGAAATATTTATGAATTTAAGTACTTTACAACTAGTTAGTTTAATTAAGTTAAGCGTTGAACCAGCTGGCTTACATACATACACATATGCGCTATATATACGAGCAATATACACATACACACATATATTATTATTTACTTTTTTTTTTTTAATATTTTTCAAAGTTTTTACTTTACATTTAAGTACATAATTGAAAGTTGCCTTAGTTGCTAGGACATAAAAAAAAGAAGAAAAATTGAAGTTTTCACATTGATGCTGTTTCATCCGATCAAGCTGGCCCTATATAGTGTATATATATATATTTAGATTTTTTTTTTATGATATGTGGGCGGCACTACAAGTTAGTTGAACATTTAAAAACATTGCCTAATCAATTTTGTTAAATGGATTCGGAAAAGAAATTGAGTTTTAAGTTTGCAGCGAATGGGCGTTGGTTTTTTTTTTTTTCTTTTTTTGTCATATGAACTAGTTCGTTCGGCTGTTTTTGCTTTTGCTATTTTTCTATTTTTCTATTTTCTTTTAAGCTATACTACTCAGCATTCGCACTAGTCCGTTTAGCAGTTGTTTTAGGCTTAAGTCTAAAATTGAATAGATTTTGGCTTAGAAAATGTTGCGTTTTACTTGGAACTAACTACAGGCATTATATTTCATATTTTTCACTATATTCATTTGAAATATTTTTGTTTTAATTTTATTTTGAATGGTTGTTTTTTTTTTTTTAGTTTTTTTTTTGTTTTCTTTTTTTTTTTGTGAAAAGTTATGCAATTCTCTGGTTTATTTTGTTGCTAAAATGAACTTTTAAAGTTGTGTGTGTTTTTCGATACGTTTCGTTAATTGATATCATTTTGCTTTCATCAGTTTCAGCGCTCGAATATTGAATAACAAACAGCTTAAAATTTGCACTAGATAGATACACATACATGCATGCATACATGCATGCATGCATACATACATGCATACATGCATGCATACATGCATGCATGCATACATGCATACATGTTGCCTTGCCTTGACTGCATTTTCCTTATGTTTTTTTTTTTATTTTATCGAGTTTCCATAAAATAATTAACGCTATAAATCACAATACGGTTTTTTATATATATATATATATATAATCGAAATTCTTTTCGAGAAAAAAAAAAGCACACACACACACACGCACACTCTCTCTATCTCGCTTAGTTCCCTAGTATCTAGAGTCTAGACAATACGAATACGAATACGAATACGAATTGAATAAATATGCGTTATACTCGTTATTTAGCTGCGTTTCCGGTTCCGTTTTCGGCTCTCAATATTCGGTTTCGCTTTCGGTTCCGGTTCCGTTTTGGGTTCCTCTTGCCTACCGGCTGGTTCCGGCGTACTGCTTAGACATGCGTGGCCAGCGGCCCCTTCTGTGTTACGCCCTTGCCATTTGTGGGCAATATGAACTGCCCGGAGGGACTCTGTGCGCTCTGCTGCGCCCCCATCCCGGCCACGCCCAATGGGCCGCACAGCGTTGGCTGTGTGAGAGGCGTGGCCGCCAGCGTATTGCTGCTGGCCGTCAAATTGGAGCTGCTGCCGCTGACGCTGCCCGGCCCGCCGCCGCCGCCGGCGCTGCCCGCTGCCCCGGCAACGCTGATGCTGGCGGCCGCACCGTAGCCGCCGGCACCGAAGTGCTTGAGGCCGCCATTGCTGTTGGCATGCCGGGCGGCATGGTAGGGCGGTGGGGCGGGCGTGGCCGCTGGATTGGCGGTGCTCGGCGGTGGCAGCGGTGGCAATATGGATGAGTTTGTGCGCAAGTAGGGATTGCCGTAGATGGCGCTGAAGCGACTGTCGATGCCGTTCTGCAGCAGCGGTTGGCCTGTAGGGACAGACAGAGATAGAGAGAGAGAGAGAGGGAGAGATTAATTGGAAAGTCGTTTAATGAACTGGTTCATTTGCTGTTCAAACTTAAATGAATCAAGTTAACACATATTTTTGTTCTTTTTTCTATTTCTTTTAAGTTAGTAGATACTCGATTTACGAACTGGTTCATGAGCAGTTATAATTCTATGAACTAGTTCATTTTGAACCTGAAGCAGATTCTACACTCCTTGTGGAGTTTGAATGTATTTCTAATAAAATCAAATTTTTAATTTGTGTCTAGTTAAAATGAACTAGTTCATTTGCTGCTTAAACTTAAATTTATTAAGTGTTTATTCTTCAGAGCTATTAGATACTCGATTTACGAACTGGTTCATGAGCAGTTATAATTCTATGAACTAGTTCATTTTGAACCAGAAGCAGATTCTACACTCCTTGTGGAGTTTGAATGTATTTCTAATAAAATCAAATTTTTAATTTGTGTCTAGTGAAAATGAACTAGTTCATTTGCAGTTTAAATTTAAATTTATTAAGTGTTTATTCTTCAGAGCGAACTGGTTAATGAGCAGTTATAATTTTATGAACTAGTTCATTTTAAACCTAGTTCAGCTGAGTCTTGAGCTAGTTCACGAAGTGGAATCAGTGGTACTCGAAATGGAACTAACCTAAGCATTAAGCGAACTAGTTTTAGTGTTAAGTGTGGAAATACTTCCGCGAACCAGTTCTTATGAACTTACCCAGAAAACCGTTAGCCTGCGATGTCTGTGGCAGCTTTGGCTGCTGCTGCTGCTGATGCTGCTGATGCTGATGCTGTTGGTGATTGTGGTGGAGCTCGTGACGCTGATTGCGCGGCAAACTGGCCCCACCGCTGAGGGGCACGCCCCCGGCTGTGTTGGGAGCAGCGCCGGACGCATTGGCCGCAAAGTGTGGCAGGGTAGCCGAGTTGATGCCACAGGCGGCGCCCTTCACCTTGCCGCTGTCAGCTGGTGGACTGTAGTCGAGCGCGTACTCAAAGTAGGGCGCATAGCCATTGCTGGTGGTCTCCTTGTAGGCCTGATCCGGCTGATTCTTGAGATTCTTGATGTGGCACTGGCGATTGTAGCGATCGCTGTAGTCGCCGGAGAAACGCTCATCGAACTTAACGGGCCCGGCCAGCGGCACGCCCAGTGTGGCGCCCTTCATCTGGACATCCGGCATCGGGGTCTGGGTGAGATTGATGGCCAGCCCGTCGCTGCCGGCCTCCGAATATTCCACATCGTACGCCTTGGCGCGCAGCTCGCTCTTCAGCTCGTTCAGCTTGTCGCCGCCGCGCGATGCCTCCGGTATAACATCGGCGGGCATTGGCTTCTTGCGCCTGCGCCGCTTCCTATAGACAATCACAATCATCACGACCATCAGGACAATGGCCACCAGCGACATGGAGCCCATGACCACCAGCGGCACGGGTATGCTGCCCGGCTCCGGCACCAATGTAATAATCAACGAATCCCCACCGTACGAATTGATGATGGTGCAATTGTATTTGCCATAGTGTGTCGAGCGGCTCTCCTTGATGATGAGCGCTGCGCGCACGCCCTCCGGCAGATGATGCTCCTCGAATATATAGATGTCGGGATCGGCGCTGCTCATATTGATCAGTTTGCCCTCAAAGGACCACAGTATATGCTCCGCCTTGGGTATGCTAAACGCCAGACAATCGATCTTGGCCCGGCTGCCAACGGCACCGAACTGCACCTTGTGCGATGTGATAATCGGTGCACGCTTCACATAGACGGTCGCCTCGGCGCCAATCTCCGGGAAGCCGTTGACCACCGCCTTGCAGAAGTAGCGGCCGGCTGTCTCGCTGCTGACCTTCAGCTTCAGCTCCGGTGCGCGTCCAACAATCTATGAGGTAGCGTTACGGGTCCAGTTAGTTTGCCTTGAGTTGGCCAACAATTGACGCTTACCTGATCCGAGTTCTCGTTGATCCATTCGATCTCAGGCGTTGGATTGCCCGATACCTCACAGCGCATGGTGACAGTGGCGCCCAGGTCCGCCTCCTTGCTGACCGGACGTTGACGGAAAACGGGTCCAACTGTAAAGTGAAGCACATTTTAATTTCCAGTTCCGGTTCCGGCTGGCGCACTACGCTCCACTACTTACAGCTTATGTCGAGAGTTTCGCTCTCCTCGCTTTTGCCAACGGCATTCACCACCTCGCACTTGACAATCGCATCATGATATTTGCGTGTTACATTGTGAATAATCTGGAGGGGAAGAGCAGACGGTTTAGTGACGCTAATTGGGCTGGCGATATGTACGAAGACCTACCATTTTGGTGGTAAAATCACCGGTGATTAGCTCATCATTGATGAACCAACGATAGCTGACCTCCGGCGGATTGGCGTCCGCCTGGCAGCTGAGTATGACCTCGGCGCCCTCGGGTATACGGCCGCCGGCCAGGGCGCCGCCCACCACCGAAACGGACACCTTGGGCGCATACTTGACCTCCAGCAGCACCTTGGCGGATCGATAGGTGCGATCGGCCGTGTTCTGTGCCTGGCACGTGATCGTCGTATTGTGATATTTCTTTTTGGGCGCCAGCTTTAGCACCGATTTGGTATTGATGCGTCGCGAATCGGCCATCGGCTCAAAGAAGCTCTCGGCTGTGAGTACATTGCCCAGTCCATCAATCCAGGTGATTTCGGCGGCGGGCTTGCCGCCCGCCGAGATGCATTCAAGCTCAATTTCGCGATCCTCTGTGGTGACCAGATAGTCGCCCTGTTGGATTTTTGGCGCCTCCGGCGGCACCAGCACCGTCAGATTGGCAAAACGTGATCGTATGCCGCGCTCACCCTGCGGCCCCGGCCCGACCTGGCACTGGTATTTGGCATCGTCGTCCAGCATCAGCGGATATATGTCCAGCGAAAAGTCGCCCTCCTCGTCGCTGCCAACCATCGAATAGCGCTCAAAGCCGCTCAAATTGCGATGCTGGCCGAGTCCGAAGTCATCCTTGGTCCATTGCAGTGCGCCCACCTTGCCCATGACGCGACAGGGCAGCGTCACCCGGGATCCAACGACGGCCGTCTGATCCTGCGGTTCCATGGCAAAGTGCTGGCCGCCTTCGCCATGTCCCTTTAGCTTGTTGTTGTTGATGTTATCATCGCTGCTGCTGCTGCTGCTGCTGCTGCTGCTGATGCCGCCGCCGGAGTCGCCGTAGTGTGTATTCTGATTGGATTTGTTTTTGTTCTTCGACTTGGCCACAATGCCGTCGGGCAGCACGACCAGCAGCAGCAGCAGATGCACCAGTTGGAGCAACAGCAAGCCGCGACTGACACGCACCAACTTCATTCTACACGTTGCAAGTCAGTTCAGGCGTGCTGCAAAAAGAGAAAAATTCATCAGTTTCTTGAATTCTAGTTCAAACTCCGAGAAGTCGAATGTTTTTCGTGGCTACATTTAAAATTGCAGCTTTCTAGCTTTAAGGGTTGCGGCTCTGTGTAGATTGTCAATCAATCAGTCAGTCAATCAACCAGATAATACAGTTTTAGATGCTTAGTTAACAAAATGTCGCTTCATTTCTTCTAAGCACTCTATTCACAATGGACACAGGTTTATGTCGTTGCTTAGTCGTTGCACAAACCAGCTGAGAACGACAACGACGTGAACAGTTAACACAAAGCAGTGCTGGCGCAAGCAGTGCACACTGTTATACACGTAAACACTTACAATGCTGTTATTCAACTGAGGTAAGCAGTGCATTTGAATTGCTCTCTGCAAGCAGTGCGCACTGATCATTTAATTCAATTTATTTTTTAGCTTTCACATTCTCTTTTGATTAATTAATTAACTCCCAGCAAATGCAATTAGTTGCAGTACATATTTAATTGTGCACAACCGCTGCCAGCTCTGGCAAATTTAAGCCACAAAACATGGAATATTCATTAAACAGCTGCCGCCAGCTTCGTTGCATATTTTTAGGCAAATTGCGGCAGAGCGACAAATTTTGTGGGTCAAGTTTAACCAAATAGAAGAGAGAAAAAGCGTAAAATGTGTGAAAAGCAGCCGCAAAACCAGCAACTGAAATAAGCGACAAAGAAAAAAAAAAAACGCCTAAAAAATCACTGCACAAGGCTTAGCTCCGCACATGAGTGTGTGTGTGTGTGTGTGTGAGAGTGTCAGGCAAGCAATCAACTGCAGGCAGTCAGCGCGTCGGCTGCTACCATAACTGTAACCCGTAAATGTAACTGTTACTGTAACTGTTAGCCCGCGCTGCCCGCGCTGCAGCTGTGAAATTGAAACATATTCGGGCTCGCGCACTCTTTCTTCTTGTTGTTGTTGTTGTTGATGCTGTTGTTGTTGTTGTCAAAAATGGTCTTGCATAGGCAGCGATTTTGTGTGCATCTACATCTACACCCATGCACACACACACACACCGATAGACACATGCACGCAAGTCCTTCAGCACCCAATTCAGTTGTGTGCGGCCAGCAGGTGGCGCTATTGCACCCACTCACACGCTCCCCCTGTGGTCTGACCTTGGCATTTGTGTTTTGTTTTGCTTTTTTTTTTGCTCTCTTATTTGCAAGCATTTAATAGGCATATATAAATATTTCACTTGTACCCCAACATAAGTTTAATGCTAATAAATGGCAAGAGCAACGAGGGCCGCACATTAAATACCCTTTCTTTTGGCTAAATATGGCAAGTGTGTTCTCAAGGCCTAAGTCGCATTCTGCTTAAGTTATTTAAATACTGAGTCATAAAACCAAATTCCAGACAATAGTATCTTGGCCAAAGGTCAATGTAAACAACGGTATTTATAGCTTGGCTTAGGTAAATAGTTGCTCATCGCTTACACACACAGGTATGTGTGTGTGCGTATGTGTGTGTGCGTGTGTAATCTATACGTAATAATATGGTTATTTGTGCTGCGGTACATTTCCAATGCATGCTCGGGGGCATTTCTCCTTTGGCTTGGCTTGGGTTGGGCTCTGACGGCACAAACTACGCACGTACTACAAACTTGGCTATCTACGGCCATCATTTTTCATGGCTTGATTTGCTGCTTCTCTATTGCGCGCTCTTCTCCCTCTCCCTCTCACTCTCTCTGTCTCACTCACACACAGACACCATATGTTGCTGCGGTGTTAACTGTCTCGTCTAACGGTAATGCTAACGATTCCATCAAGTTAGCGCCTTTTGCTGCAAAAGTCGCGCCCGAAACGCGCGCGCAAAACGCGCTGCAGCAGCGAACTGAGGGCAATCTACTCCAAACCCCAATCACGCACCCACCCCCCCCCCCCCACCCACCACGCCAATACGCTTAACGTACAAACTTTACACAGTTTTGGCTGTTGCCTTTATTTCATTTTCGTTGTTGCTTTGCACGTTTTTTTTTGCCACACTTTTCTGTTGCGTTTTCTTCGTTTTGCGTTTTGTGTGTTTACCTGGGCCATGATTTACGGCGTTTGCACTTTTGCCAACTGTGTGTGTGAGTGTGCGTGTGTGTGTGTGTGTGTGTGTGTGCGTGTGTGTGCGTGTGTGTGTGCGTGCGTATGTGTGCGTGTGTGTGCCGGCCCTGGCAGCGAGTCTGGGTCGGGGCTTCTGCATGACCCTCGTCTGATAGCTAGCCAGTGGACGCACCCTCCCTCCCCCGCCCTCCCGCTCTTGGCCCCTGGCAATATGCTCGTTTAAATTATTTAAAATTATAATACAATTTTTATGAGCATTAAATGCCATGCCTAGAGCTGACTATTTCATTTTATTTTTATGCATATTTATTTTAGTTTTGTTTTGTTTTTTTGGGTTTTTTGTTTTGGCTGCTTTTAGTGGCTCTTTAGGTCCTGTGCGGCGGAAAGTTCTCCAGCAGGAAATGACCTGACATGATTTTATACACACACACACACACACACACACATAGCTGTTCGCTTCCACTACATGGCCTCAATGGCTCAATGGGTTTCCTTTCCCATTCCCATTCCCATGCCAGTTCCCATTTGGTGTCTCGTGTTGCGTGTTGGCCGCTTCATCTGGAATTGCCTTTTAATGGCTGTCCTATATTTTAGACCATAATAATATGCAAGTTGACTGTCAACAGTTACAGCTTTCATTTATGGCATTATCCTTGCGCAAGGCCAGCTTTTCGTATCCAAAGGACATTACATTGAATTCTTTGACAGAACTGAGAGAAACAGACTGACGAACGGACGAGACAGACATGACTATATCTTCTCGGAATATATATATGCTTCAAAGTTGTTTCTTTCTATGAGTTATGCACTTCCTGATTCATTTCTAATACCCTCTGAATGAGGGGAATGAGGGGACTCAGTAGAATCAAGCTGCATATCTGGCTACATTTTTGTATCCTTGTTTATTCCAATCCCAAAGATCCCGTGTCGCCTTTCAGCCGAATCGGGAACTACAAAATCTCTTAACTGCAGACACAAAACTTATCAAATTAGTGAAAACTTTTTACCCATACAAATAAGAAACTTGACACTGAGATCGTAGAGATGATGGGAGAAAATCTCAATTATAATAGAGTTTTGCCAAAGATAATAAGCATATATTGGCATAAGCCGAAAACTCTTGCTAATATGTGTTAGCATACCAATTTTCATGGTTCTAGCTATTATATTGTAGGAGAACGTACAGAATATCATGGAAAGGCTAAGGAAACCCAAAATTAGTGTCTTTTAATGAGATCAGCTAAATGATAAGATATTTATATACTATTGCAGACCAAGCACATACTATAGCTGCATATGGAACAGATTTAAGCCAATCCCCAGAGGCTGGAGGCTGCCCATTTGAGGCGCCTCAGAAGACAGAAGCGCGATAATTGAGTATGTGCCGCACATTTGGTGGCATTTGCAATGCGAAATGAGTTGAAGCGAATTGAATCGCACAGAATCGCATAGAATCGCATTGAATCAAGTTGAATCGCGTTGAATTGAGTTGAATTGAGTTGAGTTAGCAATGATTGTATTAACGTTTGACATGCCAGGACACTGTGGCAGGACCTTGCGAACTTGCCGGCGCACAAATACAAAGCCAGCTGCCGCACACACACACACACACACACACACACGCAGACATGCGCATATATTAACCGTCAAGGACCTGCGCTCTGCTGAGATCCCTAACATGGGGCGCTGCTGCTTATATAATATGCAGGATTTTGTTATTAATATTCAATTAAAAGGCCGTCTGCCTGGCGCGGTGTGGGCATGCCGCCGCCCCCAAAAAAAATATTTAGTCGCAGCGCCCAGTAAAGCGTTTAAATGTCTTCTTCTTTTGCTGCTGCTGCTGCTGCTGCTGCTGCTAATTTCACAGCAGCCGCTGAAGCGGGCTGATGAATTTATTGGGTCACGCCCAAACCCTGAAGCCGCCTCCAACGCCCAACATCTTGTCAGCGTCATGTGGCAGGCGCTGCTAATTTATTGCCACAGCAACAACAACAACAACAACAACAAGAAAAACAAAACCATTTTGGTAAATTTGATTAGAATTTCTCAGGGTTTTTTCTTTTGGTTGTTTTTTTTGTTTTTGGAAAAGAGTGAAAAGAACATTTAATGGGGCGTTTATGCGATTTTCTAATTGTTTATTCAGTGCAACGACGAGCAGGCACACACACAAGCACAACATCAACACATATACACATTGTGTATTTAGGTGTATGGGCGGCAACTGGGCGTGGCAGCATCTTTTGTCGCTCAACGTGCTGCGGTTTTGCCTTCAACTTTGTTGTAAACTTCCGCTGCCAAAGGATAATAAACACATGACAAGCACCCGAGCCCCCCAGCAGAGAGCACACACACACACACACACACACACACGCACACGCACACGCACACGCACACGTACACGTACAAGTGTGTGTTTGTTTGTGTGTCATTAGCGTTTTCGTGCCATGTGTTTCAGTTTTTCCGTTGCCGCATTTGCGTTTGCGGCAGCATTTTCCGCACGTGCGTTGCCACTACAACAACAACAACAACAACAACAACAACAACAGCAACAACAACAGCAGAGGCAACAGCATTAGCTACCTTCTAACTACAACAACAACAACAACAACAATGTTGACAATGTCTGCAATTACAATAAACAAAAGAAAACGCAGCTAACGGGCTGACGGCTCTTCCGCTGCCTCAACACATCTTGTCCGGGCGCCCAGGGGCGTGGCTGTAGAAGGTGCGGAAAGTGGGGGAGGGGGCAGGCGTGCCAAGGGAAATGAGAAAAGCGGCCAAAGGAAGCTGGCGTCGCTAACATACTCGATTTAAAACAAACTTAAGAAATTTTACTAATTGCACGCAAAAAGTTGTTGACAATTATTACAGGGTAGCGCTGTGTTGTGCTTTTTCTCTTCAAACTT